AAAAAGGAGCCATTTGAAATTTACCAGACAGGTCACTTATACTTTTCATAAATTAATAAGCCTTCGATAAAAAGGATGAGAGTTTGTATATTGGCACATTTATTTCTATCCTTATGGTCTTATGAGACTACTTTCTATGTAAAAGTAAATGAAAAACAGCACTCATTCTAGCTCTTGGGAAACTCAGTCCTGAGTCTGTTGACTCAGTGACTAGGTTCCAGTTTTTCCTCCCAGCTCAGGCAGAGGCTGGTGCCCAGTGGTGTGAGCGCAGCACTCTGGGGCTCCATTATCCAGTCCACACACATGCAGCATCCCCCTGGGGTAGCAGGCTTGGCTCTCTCTTCCAATTTCTTCAGAGTTGCTGCTTGAAAATCCAACAGAGCTTCCCAGAGAAAGATAGACAGAGATGTGTGATTCACAACCCGTGTGCCTTGATTTGGATTTTCAGAGTAAACTGCTTTTCTTCAAAGTCAATTGGAATCAGTAGATAGCTTGCAATTACTTAGTTCTTTAATTTGATGTTTATGATACAATGCAACATAAAGTCACATGATGGCTAAAAGCTTTCTGCACCTTCTGGCTGCTGTTTCTGGAAAAGATATTAGAGACTAACAACCTATTGGCATAAGAGCTGCGTGCACTGACCTATGGTGACAAGAATGTTTCTAGTGTCACTGACAAAGAACCCAGGAGGGGGAAGTTCCCATTTTGCTTATAAAAGAGAGACTCATAATTGTGCTGGTAGTGACTGTTTGAGGTCAAGTAAATAAATATTAACACATGTACAAAGAGTTCTTGGGCTGGGGATGTGGCTCAGTTGGCACAGTGCTTTCCTGGCACATATGAAGCCCTGGGTTCAAGCCCCAGCACTGTTGAAAGCAGGCGTGGTGGTGCATGCTTGGAATCATAGCACTGGGAAGGTGGAGGCAGAAGGATCAGGGGTTCAAAGACATCCTTGGCTACATAGTGAGTTTGAGATCACCCTAGGCTATAGAGAGACCCTATCTCAAACAAATAAACAAACATGCAATTAAAACAACAACAACAACAACAACAAGAAAAAACAAAGACTTCTTCATATTCCAAAGCCAGTGTTATTTAGGCATGAGCCAAATTTACTATGGTTCAAACCATGGGTAAACTCAAGGCTGGTAACTCTTATTGTTAATTGTTCTTAGCTTCAACTCAGTTATTTTTCTAGAACCAGAAAATTACCACTTTGAAAAACCCTTGACACTAATAACAACGTGTCTCTTTCCCAAAGTATTCTAAATAAGTTGCTTGATGAGACCTCCTCTTCAGACATCAGTTTAGATGAAAGTTCTAGAAAGGAAGGCTGCAAATTTAGGTTGTGAACAAATAAACCCATTATTACATGTTCCAACTATTGTTACAACATTATTATAATACTGTTTTCTTAATTACCAGATGGAATGCTTGGACATCCTTCAACACTATGTTTGGGAAGAATACCATTAGCTCTTGAGGGAGCTCCCATAGATCATTATAATCTTATTATAAGGTAAAAGAGCAAAGAAGAGATCAAACTAAAGTTAACTCAAACATTCATCTCAATGAAAACATAAGGTGCTTCTGACATCAGTTTTTCTCTGCTCTTTGCTGATAAAATGACTGAAAAATTTTAGTGTCTTTTTAAATACCACGACAATTGCCTTCTCACTCTGTTCGCTCTTTTCGATGTTCTTCCCTCCAACTTAAGAATGTTATCCCACTGCCTTATAGCCATCGCACATCTCTCACTGAAGGCCACGGGCTCTTCCAAGCTGTCTTTTTGTAAGAGGGAATCAGGTTAAGCACAACATGGCTGCAACAAACTCTTTATATTGTGGAGTTTGTGTGCATATTTTTAACCATTCACCTAACTCTCTGGAAACTTTCATGTAGATACCCAAATGGCTGTCTCCCTGCCTCCTTTAAGCCTGTGCACAAATGGGATTTTCTTAATATGATCTCACTTGACCACCCTGTTTAGAATTTCAACGTCCACCTCCTCTTCCTGAACTTGCTAGCCCTTTACTCTGCTGTACTCTGCCTCTCTCACATCTAAAATGACTGATTGATTTAAGTGATGTCTGAAGAACCTGTTCTCTGAGAGTCTGTGAATTAATGACCTGTAGGCAGGTCATTGAAATGAGCAGAAATAAGTTGATCAGGAAAAGTATGTGTTGGTCTATCACAGAAATTGCTGAGGCCCTTGCAAAATCTCTCATGGCCTCTACTGCCCTCTCTACAGTATAGGGGTTGGAGTAGGCAGTCACAAAGGCCTTGCTGAGCACAAATATTCTGTCCCTGCGTTGCATAGTCTCCGTTTTGTTTTCTTTTCCATGTCCTTTTGGGCTCTTGTTTTTTTAAATGATGCATCATGATACTGGTAAATGATCTCATTTTCCTGCCATTCCAAATCTTACCATCAGGGAACCCATCCCAGATCTCCAGCCGGTCGTAGCGACAAAAGATTCCTCCCGGAGGATTTGGGTCTTGCTCCAGGTCAAAACTTTCAAACTCCAGGATGACTTCAGACATCTTCGGTGCAAAGATGATATAGGTGCATTCTAGGCTATTGGGGTACTTCTCAGGGTATCCAGGGGACTTTATCACGCCACTAGGTGCTGTATAGTTCTGAGAACATTCGGGACCTATGGATAAAAGACAGAGTGAAAACTCACTTAACCTTGCTAAGGGAAAAGACAGAATGGTTTTCTAGTGAAAGTTCAGCATCATGATCACTGTCCTAACCATTCACTGCTCACCCTTTTCTTAGTGGTGATGGTCAGGAGCTTCAGGTTGGGGTTTACAGTGCTCACGTTAGAGTTTAATTTATGTGGAGCAATTTAAAGGCGTCTGCTGTTTAGGCAGAAAAAAAATGACAAATACAAAATCCTGCAGGAACAATGAGCAAGCGGCAGAAATCACGACAGAGCCTTAGAGAAATAATTATAGCCCCTTCAAGCTCAGATCTTTAAATCTCGAGGCTGACAGCTCTTTATTGGTGAAATAGAACATTTATGGAGGCAAGGGAGAGAATTCAGCTGAGAGAGTTTGGGTTTCAAATTCCCCTGGCGGTGGGTCCATCACTCAGCCAGATGTGACCTCTGTCTCTTTGACAAACTGAACGTGAAAGGTAATTCATACATGGACCCCAGGTGACTGACTCACTCTGAGCAGTGTTGACACAGGTGCGTGTCAACGTGTGGCAGTTAGCGAGGGCACTATAAACTGTGATTACAGCCCCAATCCTGGGAGTCACCTGATATAGTCGCTGACATCCTAACCTTCCCTCAAGTATCAGCTTTGGTGCAGTATACCAGCTTAAATTTGCTCATTCACAGGGGTGTGTGTGCTAAATGTACATATTTACAATGTGTGATTTTAATGACTGTTCAGAGTTATCAAGATGTTGCAAACTGTGGTGATTTGTGATTGAAAATGAACAAGAGTACATGTGGGTGTAGTTGAGGCTGACCGTGAGGTTATATGAATGAGCGAAACTTCAATTCATGGCATCTGGTGAGATTCTCTATGGCTGAAAACTGCCTGTCCACATTGTCACATGCTTCATGACTTTCAGCTCTGCCTTCATGGCTGCCACTGCTCTGATCTTCAAAGAGCCATGCTTAAGTAAAGCAGAGAGGATAGCACCCTTTGAATCTCAGAAATCTAGGAATGTTCAAGCCAGCTGTTCTTTCTCTGTCTGGCTGTGACTCACAGGTCCCTGATCAGGATTCCAAGAGTCAATTAAACAAGATGACATGTTGAGACTATTCTTTGCATCTGAATATGTCTGTGTGCCTGTGTGCATGTCCGTGTGTGTGCATGTCCGTGTGTGTGCAAGTGTGTGTGTGTGTGTGTGTGTGTGTGTGTGTACATGTGAGTGTAAGTGTGCCAGAGGACAACTTCAGTTGGCCTTCCTTAATGTCATCCACCTTGGTTCTTGAGACAGAGTCTCTCACATTTAGCTGGTGCTCACTGGTTTGGATAGACTGGCTGGTCAATGAGTTCCAAGGAACCACCTCTCTCTACCTCCCCAGCACTGGGATCCCAAGGTTTCACCTCCACACCCAGCTTTTCACTTGGGTGTTGGGGATCAAACTCAGGTCCCCATACTTGTAAGGCAATCACTTTACTGATTAAATCATCTTATCAGCCTGAGACTGTTCTTAACTAAACACCTTTCTGATGTTCCCAGAGACCAGGAGTAACTTCTTACACATCAAAGCAGATGACAATAGCTATCAGACCCTCATTTTTAGTGGTCCAGGTCAGTAAGCTTAGTCTCCATCTCAGCCTCTGGCAGCTCCTGAGAAAGTGAACATATATGGCTTTCTCCTAGTACCTGCTTTAGATATCCACAGCTGGGGTGCAGAAGAATAGTGCTGTTACCTGGACACAGTGTGCCTGGCCTTTGAAGCAGAGTCAGCTTGTTCAGAACACCTAGAAACCTTCCCACACAGGGCTCAGGCATCCCGATTCCAACCCCAGATGCTAATCTGTTTGACTCTGGCTAAAAACTCATGTGTCAGTTGCATTTTTCTAGGTTAGTTCTAAATGGATTTTTTCATTCTTTTTTGGGGGAGGGGTCTTTTTTTGAGACAGGGTCTCTCTGTAGCCCCAGCAGTCCTGGAACTCATTGTGTAGACTAGACTGGCCTTGAACTCACAGAGATACACCTGCCTCCACTCATTCTATTTTTAAAAGACCCTGAGACAACAGTGAGAATGCCAAGTATCCCTAATTCAGGTGTATATGGAATAGCCCATGTCTTTGTATCATACACTGTAAGACTATATCAACACATTATGTTATATTAATTTATAATTAATATATAATAAATAACCCATGCATCACACATGTTATATGATATATGTGATTTGGGGAGTCTTTTAGAATTTTTAATTTAAAAATTTATTTATTTTTATTTTATGAATATGAGTGTTTTGCCTGTATGTATGTAGGTATATCACAGGTATGCAATGCCTAGAGGGGCCAGAAGGTGGAGACAGATCCCCAGAAACTGGAGTTACAGACTGTTGCTAGCTGCCATGTAACTGCTGGGACCCAAACCCAGGTCCTCTGGAAGAACAGCCAGAGCTCTTAACTGCTGAGCCACCTCTCCAGCCTCCTGCCCCTGAATGTGATTTTTTAAAACATTTTCCTTTTCACTGTTATATTATATTAGTTGAACAAGTGCAATCTCTAAAGGGGACAGTATCAGAAGAAGGTTTAGGAATGTTGTAGGAACTCCCAAGGCTAAACAGGACTGAGGCCTTCAGGCCCAGCTGCCTGGAGGCCAATGAGCTGCAAGAGGATTGGTGCTCATGCCCACACATCTGGAAGAATGCCACACTTTGGGTGCTATCTGGAAGATGGAGAGTGCCTCGCGTGGCTACAATAAGGCCACCTCTGGACGTTAATGACAATGAGGATGGGTGGTCATAAGAGCTAATATGCTTTCTTTGAGTTACTGTTAAATATACAGACTGATTTTATTTTACTTTAGTTTTTTAGACAGGGTCCTGGGTATCCCAGACTGGCCTTGAACTCCTGTAGCAGAAGATGAACTTGAAATTCTGCTTTTCCTGCCCCCTCCTACCAAGTGCTGAGATTATAGGAATGTACCACATTGCCTGGTTTGTTAAGTGCTAGAGATGGAGCTCAGGGCTCTCTATATGCTAGGCAAGCACTCTACCAGTGAGTCACATCCTTGGTCCTCATTAAATATATAGACTTTTAATTATATAATCTGCATCAAGCCTACCTGCCACCCCCCCAAAACAGGGACTCATAGAAACTTCTCCAACCTCCTTTAGCTTTGTGGCTGGTAGTCCAGGCTAATGGGCAGAACAGGGTAAAAGTGATGGGTTGGATGTGTGGGTGTCCCAGGGAAGTTTCTTTAGGTGAATGGGAACAATTGTGAGGCTGGTGGCCCAAGATTCCAACATCTAGGGATGCTGGGGCTGCCAGGCAGAACAGTGTCTGCACACTGAGCCCCCAGAGCTCAGAGTGGCTAACTCTCAGAACTATAATCCACTGCCTGAAAAACCTCAAAGGCAGCATATAAAAAATTAATTTCCTGGTTGCATTAAACTATGATTGGTATAATTCATCAGTTTTGAGGAAAACTTGAAATTGCTGATCCTTAAAAGAAGTGCTGAATTTTCAAAAGATCAGAAATTCATGAAGGAATTAAATCATTAAATGACTTGAAGAAAACTATATTTGTACTTGCATTTTGCTAATATTTTATGAATAATAGTATATGCAGTAATGGAATAATATTTTTGCATTTTCCAAATACAGTAACTGTTGGAAAACAGAGTGAACATTACATGAGAAAATTTGAAAATATTAAGGAGAAACATTGGTAAATGGAATGTGTGTATACAATATGCTTGCACACACTCACAAATACTCTGCCTACTGTTCAGTATTTTCAAGGAGGATATGCACAGAAAAGTCAGGTTAAATAGGAGTGCTTTCTGAGCAGACAGATTGGAACTATGTTTTCCAGGAGGTCAAATGCATTCTGGGAGAGTGTGGGACGCTGAGATTTTAAGGCACCAGCTGATCTAAAAGTGTTTACTGAGCACAAGTCAGAGGCAGGCATCAGAGTTACACATTCCCATTTCATCCAACTTCTACATGCTTGGTGTTGGCTCCACTGATGAGGAAACTGAGGCTTCTCATCATACCAGTAACCAGCTGCAGAGGTAAAATGCACATTCAGACCTTCCAGTCTCTGGGTAGAGCAGACCTGGAGCAGGATGCCACACTGTAGTGGGTGGCAGTTGAAGGTGGACAAGGGCAGGGTCTGCCTAGGCCCTATCCAGCTTCCAGAAGGATTGAGTCTTGACCCAGCATGAAATAGACCTGTGAAAGTTTCTCACAACAGGGGCTTGATGCCCAGTGGAGAGGCCAGGCAAGGATTAAGCTACATCACATGTTGGGTCTATTTGGCCCACACTAGTAGACCTGGAAAGGAGGCTGTGATTTGCTGAGACTTTGGCTGAAAATTGAAGAGAATAGATGACATACTTTGGAGGAGGAGGAGGAGGAAGAATTCTCTGAGCTAGTGACATCTCTCTTTCATCTCTCTCAACTAGCTTCAGATCTTTGAGAAATGCTGAAAATGAAAGGCCATTCTTATTCCTTTTCTAACACCTGTTGCCTTTGATGGACCCACATGAAAGAAGACAAATGTAAATTCGCACGTGTGCTCACATAGACATGTAATATGCTTTAAATAACAAGCCGAACAGCTTCCAATGCAAGAAAATACAAATCTATTTGTAATTGTTCATCTTGATGTGGTATGCAAACTATCAGGTGCAGCTAAAAGTTGTTTCCTCTAAGTACTGCTTATATTAATTTCTGTGTGTGGGTGCCAGAGTACAAACATGGTGTTGCTCCTTACACATCATTCCCCATTCTTTTGAGACAGGGTCTCTCATTGGCCTGAAGCTCACCAAATAGGCTAGGCTGGCTGACTAGTGAGCCCCAGGGATCCTCTTGTTTTCATCTCCCCAGAGCTAGGCGTACAAGTGTGTGCCACCATACCCTGTTTTTTTTACATGGGTGCTGGGGATTGAACTCAGGTCCTTGTGCTTGCAAAGCAAGAACTTTATTGACTGAACTGAACTTTCTGCCAAGCCCCAGGCTTTTATAAACCTCTGAAGAAAGTTCCCTCCATATGTGCAGGGCCAGACATGTTTGAAAAGTGAAGAAGTCATACCAGTGGTCCCTAAACTCAAAACTCCCAATGATACTTCTTTCCATGGTTCATCCATTGCTGACTCAAAAGATCTCAGGCTTTTGAAGTTGGTGTAACTAGATTTGTGTTTTGTTTTTTTCCTACTAAAACAAACACTTTCTCCAATATTTCAGGAAAATATGTTCCAAACTTGAGCCTTTGTTTCTGGACTATTAACAGATTTCTGCTATATTAAATCTCACCCACCCAGGGCTCAGGGAACATTTTGGAAGAGTGGGTGGAAAGATTGTAAGAGCCAGGCAAAGAGGTACATGACCATAAGGAAGCAGTCTTCCAGGACTCTGGGAACTTGCTCATACAAACTTGTAGCATTGGTGTCAGCATGTACAAGATCCATGCAAACTCAATCGGACAAAAACCAGCACAGAACTGGGGAAATGGGCAGCAGGCCTCAACTTTAGCCAAAGCACTATTGGCAGCTGATTACTACTGGGTGAGGGAGAGTGGATCTTTTTAAGGGAGGGACTCTAGATAGGCTGACTAGACTTCAGTGGATGAATTTGGACTGAGGGACATCTTGGTACACTAACGTGACTTGATAGGCCTTAACATGTGTGACAGAATGCATGAAATCTGGTGGGGGACTATAGAGGGTATAGATGGGGAGGGGGTATAAAGATCATTAAGATGTTTTATAGGAAGTACACAAAAATACATTAAAAATGTAAATAACAGAGACCAAAAGAAGAACACTCTACAGTGGCCTCCAGGCATGTACAGTGCTTAAGTGTTGGCCTGATCCAGGATGGCTCTGGAACGTCCCCAAGGTCATACAGAGACATGGTGCTATCTGAGGTGGCAAACCTGTAGGAGATACAGCCTAGTGGGCAGTCTTCTAGTCATTGGGGGTACTCTTGAAAGGGACTGTGAGGCCCCATTTTTTTTGAGTCCTGGCCATCAGGTGAGGAGTTTGCTCCTAATGTGCTATCTGTTATGATGGGAACAAAATCAGAGACCAAAAGCTTAAAACTATGAGTCAAAGTTAACTAACCCCTTCTTTTAACATCAATTGCCTCAGGTGTTTTGTTATAGTTACAGAAAGCTGACCAACAAATGACTGATACATGTATTTAATCCCTTAAGACTAGAAGCCTACAAACTGTCAGATTTGATTCCATGCCAACATATACCATTGGAAGGGAAGATTAGTAATTACTTGTATTAGAGGTGCTAACTGGTATTTTATTCCCAAGGAGATTGCCTCTTGAACCACAGCTGCTTTATTTCTTCCATGAAGTTCTTCCCTTCATCCTTCTCCTGTTACCAGAAAGCCTCTTCTCTACAAAGCAGTAATAGAAAGAATAAGACTTTGTTTTTCTTGGGAACTACCAGTTCTGAATTTTGTGATAAAATAAAGGGACTGTGCTACCCATAACTTTAAAGGAATAGGGACTGACTGTATTTTTCACAATAGAAATCAAACTTAGGCTGGGGATGAGGTTCAACTGGTAGGATGCTTGCCTCATATACAGGAGGCAGGTGTGGTGGCAGACACTTTTGATCTAGCACTTGAAAGGTGCAGGCAGGAGGATCAGGAATTCAAGGTCATCCTCAGCTATGTATCGAGTTGAAGGCCAACCTGAGCTGGAGATCTTGTCTCAAAAAAAAAAAAAAAAGTGGACTTCAGCAGTATCTTAAGCTTATTTCTGAGGAGGAAAGACATGAATAATGCTCTTTAGAGAGCCCAACACATCATAATCCTTTAAGCAGTCAACACACGTGGGGTAGCATATTTTGATTTCTGAATAGTTTTGATAGATTTTAAACACACTTCTACCACACCGTGGATAGCTTTCATTTATTTAAAGTATTTTACAATCTTTCTGTAAGGGAAAATAGAATTCCTTTTGGAAGGATGGAAGCATCTGTCTTTCTTTTCCATGCATTCTTCCATGACATCAGACAATAGTAATTATCATTTAAACATTGTTCTTATGGAAGTTACTCACCTCTTTTGAAGATTTCATAGCGGATGGAAAATCCTGCGCCATGTGTCTCATAGTCAGAGACAAATTTGATTAAGAGAAATGGCCCCGAGGACACCACGGGAGATGGTGCGATCTTCCCACAGAACTTTCCCCACAGCCGGCCGTTTTCATTCTCCCCATCAAACACCTCCACGTAGTCATACCTTGTGAACAAGAAGGGAAGGTGGTGTGAGGCTGGCAAGAAATGCCCTTCCAATTTCAAAATCTGAGGAACTTTAACATTATCTAAAGTGGTCTGTCAAGCGGGGGGGACCCAAACCTGGCACCATCTGCCTTTCACCACTCACTGCACAGAGGGAAGAATACACAGCAAAATGAAATGATTAAAATGGACTGCATCGTGCCTGTGCACATCATCAGCAGCAGAGAACCGTTAAGAATAATGGTGTCCATTATACTTACAGACAATGTCAGCCAGAGTAAGCAATTAACAAGAAAAAGCAAAATCTCTGAAGCACAATTCTCTATTATTAAGGAGTGTTGCTTTGTCTGTGGAGGGGGTTCCCACGAATAATGGGGAGTATTCTTTTCAGACTTCGAGGTTCTCTTATGAATTCAGAATGTCTCCTTGGTAGAGTGCCCCACAAACAATACTTTGATTTCTGTGAGAGACCTTCTAAACATATGGCCATGGAATAATAAATAGATTCTTCACTGTTTAATGCCATTCTGCCCAGCTCCAGACTTCTGAGAACTGGGTAGCCACATTCAGTGATTGAGACAGAATGCCTCTCCAGCCTACACTTGTCACAAAGCATAATTTATCCACTGAAAAAGTTTATGTAAAATTGGAAAGTAAATTTGTTTATACCCATCAGTTGGAATCTTTAAAGGGATATTGTTGAGAAAGGAAATAGAACACAATTGTGAAAGTATGAAAGAAAACCCAGGCTTGATGATTGACTGACCAGTGATAAAATGATAGGAGAGATCACGCTGAGCTAACTTGTGCTCAGGGCCACTGAATCTTTAAAAGGTAGAGAATCCACAGGAAACACTGATATCTCTGAGAAAAATGAAATTTCCATTGGTTTGGTGCTACATTACTATATTTCTTAGTGTCCTGCTCCTTCCTTCCTTCCTTCCTTCCTTCCTTCCTTCCTTCCTTCCTTCCTTCCTTCCTTCCTCCCTTCCTTCCTTTTTGTGTATATGTATGTCCATGTGTTTGTGTTTGTGGGGGGGGTGTGCATGTGTGTGTGTGGCGGTCAGACGTCAATGTCTGATGTCTTCCTTTATTGTTCGCCCACTTATTTTTAAAAATCTATTTACTTATTTATTTATTTAGTTGTTTTTGTGTATGAGTGTATTGCCTGCATATATGTAAGTGCACCCATGTCATGCAATGCTGAGGAGACCAGAAGAGGGCGTTGGATCCCTTGGAACTGGAGTTGTTTGTTAGTACCATGTGGGCTTTGGGAACTGAACTTGGATCCTCTGCAAGAGCACCCAGTGCTCTTAGTGTTGACCTATCTCTTTTTGAGAGTGTTGCTGACTTAACCTGGACTGATGAGGCTAGACTGCCTGGTCAGTGAGCTCCAGGATCTTCCTGTCTTCACTTCCCTGTTCAGGGGGTTACAGATGCATGATGCTACATCCAGCTTTTTATGTGGGTAATGGGAATCCAAACCCAGGTCTTCATGCTTTTCAGTTAGCACTGTACCCAATGAGCCATTTCCCCAGCCTCTTTCCTTTTTATTATTTACTGAGCCACCAGGGAGCCAGAGAACCTGATTTGTCTTTATTTTTCTCCTAGAACTGACATGAAACCATTATGACCCATTCATTTCAAATCTTGTTTCAAAAATCCTGGGATATATTCATTTCAGATCTGGCTAAAATATGGCAGTCACATAAACTATATCTGGCAATTTAAAAGAAATCAAGTGGAAGAAATCTTCTTGATGACCATGCATTCATTAACTAGCTCTCTTCAGACTGCTGGGACCCATGACTTATGTCTATGTTAAATCCCAGGAGACAACCATCGGGATGATATCACTGGTTAACATGGACAGCTCAAGGCTCTCTAAATTAAAGATGACATTACCTCATCGGTTAAAATTGTCTGCCAGCTTTGTGTATATCAAGAAGAAAATAAAGCTGGCATTGATGGAGCTAAGCATTAACACATGTGACTTACTGTCTAAACACCATTTCCCCTGTTGTGCCTGATGTTTCCAGTAGTAATCACCGGGCCAGCTAACATCTCTAGCTCACTGTCCCTTTGCAAAACATGGAAATACACAGAGGAATTGTTCCTTTCTCCACCCACGGGGAGATGCTTTGCATTTAAAAGACAAAAGAGGAGAGAGATGAGAGGAGGAAGAAGAAGAAGAGGAGGAGGAGGAGGAGGAAGAGGAGGAGGAGGAGCGGCAGAGATGTCTATACCCTAATGAACTTTTGGAGGCCACCAGGGGCAGCCTGAAAGAACAGGTCTATACCACCACAGCTCCCATGGCATTTATGGAGTGATTCCTTTCATCTACTGCTCCACTGATGAGACAGGCATGCAGGCTTTGCTCCATACTCTCTTATAATCTAACTGTGATTTGAACTGTTCACTGTGTTTGGTCTGGCCACTGCACACCCAGCTTTGCAATATAAGCTTTTCACTTCAATCTTGACACGGTCTGAATGCTAAGTGGCCAAATCCTGGTGTGCGCTGCCTTCCAAGCACAAATAAGAGAGGTGGGTCAGGCACTGTGAAGATGGGAGGGCATTTCTGCAGGGAGAGCTTTCTCCAGGTATCTAAGTGGTCAGCTAACAAGTGCCAGGGAATATTGCAACAGGGAAGAAAGCTAATGTTTTAATTCACACATTCTCTGGTAGTAAATATCGGGCCCTCCTCTTGGCAACCGTAAAAGCTATTTTTTAAAATGCGAAGGGTGTGGATCAGAATCCCTTTCCAGAAAGAGATAAGTCAGAGCCAGTGCCAAGTTTAGGAAGCTGAATTATTCAGGGATACCACAGTCACATTTGGAAACTGGAAGGCCTGCTAGCATTTTAGCACTTCCAATCAAAGCACCATCCAATCAGGGCCCAAGGAGTGTGGGGACTAGGCGTTCTTGCACACATTCTGGAGGGTGGATCCTGCCCAAGTCGTGAAAGTAGCATCACCAGTGTAGTGAAGAGGAAGCAGCTTGCATCTCCCTCTGGAGCTGACACCAGCCTGGCTCCCCAAGATTCTCCCTGCCAGATGCCAAGCCCTGAATGCTGCTGGTGGGCTAACTTCCCTCCCTGGAATACCGCAGGAATGCAAGTACCCAGCCTGCATTGGCCCTGAGCCCAGGATCCTGAGTTTGCAAATTTCGTTACCCCCCCCACCCCGCACCAACCAGGTGACTGTGCAAGGTTTGGCTGCTCCTGGCAGTGGGGCAAACACCCCTTTCTTGGGATGTCAGGGTCCCCAGAATTGACTTGGGGCCTGTGGAGATAAGAGTGGACCTGCACCTGTGGAATCTAATTTATGAAGCTAAGTGCTCCCAAAGTTGACTCTTCCTACTTGGGTACCTGCTCTGGAAAAAGAATGCTCCAGGTCAGGAAGGAAGTTCACCCATCTGTGAAGGCAAATTAGCAGCTGTCTCTTTCCATCCCTGATCACAGTTTAAATGTGCTCCTCACTTACTGCAAAGGGAATGTAAACTATATTATTATTATTATTATTATTATTATTATTATTATTTTTTTGAGGCAGGTCTCCCTGTAGCCACAGCTGGCCTGGAACTCATTGCTTTTTGAAGGGTTTCAGGCTAGCCTTGAAGTCACTATATAGCCAAGGCTGTCCTTAAACTCCTCCTGCTCCTACTCGTCAAGTATTAGAATTATAGGTGTGAGCCACCATGCCCATTGTAGGGAATATAAATTTACTGTGGATTGTTGAAATCTTCAGGAGGCAATCAATCCCTCCTGGTGACATCTTCCCTCTACTGAATTCCTCTATGTTCAACCTTTTCCCTGTATGGTTAGTGAGAGTTAAGCAGATGCACAGCTCCCAGAAAGCAGCATGAAGCTCCATCTAGCCTTCTGCAATTAAAAGGGACCTTCCCACAGGTGCCACATTTAGCTGTGACACCCGGCAGATCTTCCCCTGATTGACCCTGGTCTTAGAAGAATGACTTCCCCTCTGTCACCCTACCTGGTGAAATAGCTTAACTCCTAATCATAAGTCAGGTTTCCCATAAGAGTGATAAAAGAATAAAGATTCCCTTCTAAGAATTCTTGAACAGATTACTGAGGGATTATTTTCCTTTCCTTTTGGAAGGCTTGCGTTATGATTTTAGGAAAATGGCCAATGGGGTAAAAAGTGATGGAGAAAATAAGAACGCTCTGGATCACTGCAGAACCACTCCAGAGGACAGAGAGCTACCGTGGCCTCCCTCACCTTCACCCCAGACTTCTACACACCCTCAAAGCCATAGGAAGGGGGTTTTCAGGGCGGGCATCTTTTTGATCTCTTTCCAGCAGGATCAACAGGTCTGAGTACAGTCCTAATGGAGAAATCTGATCCTCAAGGTCATCTGACAGAACAGGAAGGCGCATAGGTGAACAGAGTGCCCATTTGCAGTAATGTGTTTCTGTACAGATTCAAGGTCTTTTGTGCAAGGCACTGGGATTGCTGTTCCCACCCAGCAACCTGAAAAGGGTCACAGGATGGTCATCTAAGAATGACCTGAGATCTACCCCAGAAGAGTACAGCTTTCCCAGAGAATTAGGAAGAGGATTTAAAAATAAACAGTGATGAAGCTTGGAGGGCCGCTTATCTGCGTGCTGGTTTGAGTGATTTCACATGAGAGTTCTTTCTCCCCAACAGTTTTGGCTTGCTTCCAATGTTCTAATCAAGACATTTCAACAACCTTACAATGGCCATAGCCTCTTCTGTAGGAAAAGATTTTTTTTTTTAAAAAGAAATCTCTTCTAAGAAAATAATCTAGAATAACTGTCAAATATTTATATAAATTCATATCATGGGATAGTATGCAGTTATGAACATGTTCAGCAATATTTTCTTATTTGTGTGTGTATATGGTATATGTGTACATGCATGTGTGTGAGGAGTGTCCTTGCCTGTGCACGTGTGGGTAGAGGCCAGAAGTCAATGGTGATCCTATCACTCTCCTCTTTTTTTCAGACAGGGTCTCTCACC